TTGAAAGGAACTGAACTGGAAACTTCCCCTCCATCCTTTGACTTGGTTGAACCTAGCTCTGATGTTGACATCCGCCCACAGATTACATGTCTTACCACAGAGGCTGCCACAGATGGTCTGGACATCAAGCGCTTTGAGAGATTCTCCAGCTGGCGATCACTCACTCGTGCAATTGCAAGGCTTCAGCATGTTGCCAGTTCCTTCAAGAAAGACAGCAACTGTAAAGGATGGCACATTCATGAAGGGCCCTGTCCAAAGGAAGATTTGGACAAAGCGAAGACCATCATCGTTGGTAGTCTGCAACAAATCGCTTTTACAGAAGAACTGGAATGTGTTAAGAAAGGAATGGATATTCGTAAACAAAGCCCACTGTACAACCTGTGTCCTTATATTGACAGTCCTGGCCTTCTCAGGATTGGCGGACGCCTTTCCAATGCTCGCCTTTGTGAAGATGAGATTTGTCCTCTGATTCTCCCTGGACAGAACCACATCACAACTTTATTAATCCAACACTATCATGAACAGGTCCACCATCAAGGGCGTCATATCACTGAGGGTGCCTTAAGAGCTGCTGGTCTGTGGGTTATTGGAGGGAAACGCCGTGTCAGTAGCATTCTGCATCATTGCGTTACATGCAGAAGACTTAGAGGGGCTGTAGAGACTCAGAAAATGTCCGATCTACCTGTTGACCGACTCAGTACCGACCCACCTTTCTCCTTTGTTGGTCTGGATGTCTTTGGACCTTGGATGGTTGTGGCACGGCGGACTAGAGGAGGAGTGGCCAGCAACAAACGGTGGGCAGTGCTTTTTACATGTATGAGCACAAGAGCCATACATATTGAAGTCATAGAGTCTATGGACTCCTCAAGCTTCATAAATGCTCTGCGACGGTTCTTCTCCATCAGAGGACCAGCCAAGCAGATACGATCTGACTGTGGAGGAAATTTTGTTGGTGCTTGCAAAGAGCTGCAGATAGAAGGTCTGGCCAACACCTTTTGGCATCGCTGGAGGACAGAGTACCTACCCTCTCTGCAAAAACGGAGAAAATGGCAAAAGGAAATACATAATCTTCAAGCTGGAGACATTGTAATACTCAAAGACAAGCAGGTAAAACGAAACTATTGGCCCCTTGGTATTGTGGTCAAGACATTCCCCAGCGCTGATGGCAAAGTGAGGAAGGTCGAAATCAAGACAGCAAACGATGGTCCATTCAAGACCTTTCTACGCCCTGTCTCAGAGACTGTTCTACTCCTCTCCCCAGAGACATTGTAGTTGGTTTGTATTAGTGTGCATTGTACAGTTGTGGTGGCATCTTTTTAGATACCAGGCGGGGAGTGTTCTGGCCTAAGTAAGGAGCTGTAGGTCACCTTGCAGCCACTAGGGGGTGCTACATTTGTTGTTGAGTTTTTTGGACCTCATGGCGCTCTGTAGGAGGCCATTTTGGGTTTCTCATTCATTGATAAGAGCATGTTGTGGACACTTGCCTTATGAAGGATCTAAATCCATCCTGGACTAGGAAGGAATCGTATAATCATTGTCTGTGAGTAAAGTGTGATTAAGATGTTTCTTTTCACGACCATGCTTTCATTTTACGCAGATGGCTATGTTAGACCATGATTTTTGTGTTCTGCAGTATACCTTGTTCGCTAGGTGATAGTTTTCGGTCAGATATATTTTCAGTCACATACTGTTAATTTGATTGACATTAACAAGCATGTTATACTACACAGATATGTTTATTGATCGTGTATCATAACTGATTGTTTCTTTTTACTTTATTACAGTTTTACTCCATTTTGCATTCTGTCAATGAATAACGGTGGCACACGAATAAATCAACATTTATTGACTACGGAATGTGGAAGGAGTTATCTGTCTGCCTAGTTGAGGAAGGGGACTCTTTAATGAGGGCGGAACATGGAGATGAACAGATTATCATGAAGTATTAACAACAGCTCTGTTAATACTAAAAAGACCAAGGCAGTCATTTTGACTGTTTTTTAATTTTGCAATGTAGTAACTTACTTAAAATAAAACCTGTGTAACTACAGGACCATGACTTTTCCTAAATGTGTCTATATTTTATTCTAGCATTGTTATTTTATCAAAAACACAAAACACAAAAGAGTTTTGAGTATTTCTACCTTGAAAGTCCATAGCGGTCACATTGACTGCATGCATTATAGCCAGTGTATCATTTCAGTATTCGCTACTTTTTCCCACTCTTGAAGGTAGAGGTGGGCGATATAGGAAGAATATCATATCACGATTTTATCACAATGTTTTTCATACTGTTTAGACAAATTTGTAAGTTGCTGACCAGCTCAACCAAACTTATTTCCCTGTATAATGTTTTTAAATGCACAAAAACTGTGCGGACGAGTTTAATCTATTTTAAAAACATGGGGGAAGTTTGTTTACAGGATCTTAATGAACTTTCAATGTGTTCCTACTCTGAACAGTTACTGATCATAGTTTAAGCTGCATGTCTGCTTCAAAAATGTCCATAACAGCTTAATAATATATCATTTACCGTATTTTCCGCACTATAAGGCGCACTTAAAAGCCTTTAATTTTCTCAAAAAACGACAGTGCGCCTTATAATCCGGAGCGCCTTATATATGGATCAATTGGTTAATTGGTTGATCCATACTGGTTGTACACGGCGCTCAGCGACACTGACTCGGATAATGACGAGAGGGAGCCGGGCATGTTGGATGCCGTACTCGCCCAACTGTTCAATTCGGACACTGAAGAAGAAGAATTCGAGGGATTCGTGGACGGGGAATGAACTGAAAAAGTGAGCTTTACGTGTTATACGTAACTGAACAATGTTGAGTTATGCACTAACGCAGGGGTGCCCAACCTTTTTTGAACCAAGATCTACTTTTAAAGTTACCAGTCTGCCGAGATCTACCAGTCCACATAGTGAGCCATAGCCTTTACCAACAGCCTACAAACGCATTTAATACTCACACAACAAACAGAAAAGAATAAATGAGAGTTCTGTAAAAAATAATGCAGACTACAGACTACAGCAGGCTGCTGTGAGATGATTTTGCTTTTGTTAAATTAGCTGTAGACATGGTGAGAGTGAACGGAGTAAAGTCCAACCGACTGTTTGACCGGGTCACGTGTGTTCCCACCTCGGTCCGTACGGATCACGGATCAACTGTGTGCTGTAGCACTAAAAGTAAAAAGTAAAAAGGTTCGCGTGGTGGCTGGCGCTCCAGTGCAAGTGTGTGTGTGTATGTGTGTGTGTGTATGTGTGTGTGTGTGTGTGTGTGTATGTGTGTGTGTGTGTGTATGTGTGTGTGTGACAGTGCACTCTAACGAGCAGAAACATGTTGCTAAACCAGATTGTATAATCTAACGTCCATCTGTAGTCCCTTGGCATGTTGGTGGTACTCCATTATACAAATGTCAAATTCATCATTTTATCTCTGCAGCTCTGTGGTCAGCACTCTCCCGGTTTTCAGACCGTTTAAAGCTCTTTTACATCACATTCACCCACTCACCCACACACTGATGGTAGAGGTTGCTACATAAAGTGCACAACCGTACAGCTCTCCCTACTAATCACACACACGCACGCACGCACGCACACACACACACACACAGATGGCTTGTGTTTCAGTGATTAAACGATTAAACACCACCCACATGGAAACATTTCTCCTTTAAATCAGAGACAGAGCAAAAACAAAGTCATTACAGCTCACCCTAACAGCAAGCAGAGGGCTTCTTTAAAACAAACAAACAGGGAATTAGTGAGGAACTTATCATGGATATTCATAAGCATAGCAGTGCTAGGGGGGCAAACATTTCAAAACAGGGGACAAGATTTGCACTGTTGCCTTTGTGCATGTTTTTGAGGATTCTTCTAACTCCAAATTGCAATTAACAAATAAAAAAAATATATGATGTGTGATGACATTGTTCTATATTAGGATTACAATATAAAAGCCATAAATTGTCACCAATTAATGTGAGTTTTAGCTGATAGCTAGCTTTTCATCTAAATGCATCAAAATAGTGTGAAAGCACAGACTTTATTCTAAGGCCTCCATCATTTTACATGAATGGGTACAATGTTCACATATACTGGTTGTGAAAGCACTGCTTGTTTAGACAAAAAAAAAATTCTTATTTATGACATCAAATCAGATTATTGTCCTGTGTTTGCTGTGAATGAATCTATAGTGATAATGGTACATTTGTGATTGATTGTGCAGCCCAAGAGAGCACATCTTCTTTTTAAACTGGCTGATTGAAAAATCACAGAAAATGCAGATAAACAGATTCAGACACAAAAACATTCAGGAACAGGAAACGCCTTCACCATTACTTTTTAAGCATCCCACTGCCCTTCCCCCACCCCTTCTATTAACTCTCGTCAAATTGCTGTACACACACACACACACACACACACACACACACACACACACACACACACACACATTGAGGAACCTCTCTTATTGCCTTCATTAAAAGTTTTGGTGGAAATTGATCAGAACAACAATGTCAACGTAGCAGAACTGTGTTTGTCTCCTCATTTCACCAGAGCAGCTACTTACTTTAATGTAAACTCTTCTGTGTGTTTCCATCGACCACATCATGAGGCGTTTTTTGCACCGCAGAACCCTCCTCCATTTTTATCAATTCCACACAACAGGAACTATGAACTGTTTTAGTTCTATAGAACTCCGTTAAGAGGAACCTTTTTAATTCCTGCTTCAGAGTCAGTTCCCAGGAGGTGTAGTTCTCAGGAAACTGCCAGTACCTAGAATTGTTTGGCCGGAAATCACCTCATGTTTTGGTTGCCAGCGTGATTCTGAGGTAGCATCTTACTCATTTCAGACATAAACCTCCAGCTTCATTATATGATACACATGACAGATGATGTTGTGCTTTACATCAGCACTCTGGAATGCCTCTTGTCCAATCAGATTACTTTTTTCAAACTCCCTGTAGAATAATCAAAATAGTATCAAACTCACCGAGATAGAATAGATTAGAGCAGCAACTCCCAGCGGCAGGCAGCAGCAGATCATAGTGAAGACGGAGTAGCACAGGTAGTCATTGACAGGGTGCTGCAGCGGGATCGGGGTCACATACTGCGTGGGCTGGACAATGATGCTGGCCGGCTGGCCTGGGTACGGCTGACCCACAGGGAAAGGCTGTGGTCCATATCCTGGGCCTCCATACTGCTGGGGCGGGGCTGCATAACCCTACGTGCCAAAAAAACATGAAAAACAACTTACTCAAAACTAAAGTGAAACCAACTGAATAAAACGTTTGTGAAGAAGTGGAAAAGAGGTGCACATGGGGAGGGTTTACATGAAACAAAAGTATTGAGATTTGGGATCAGTGGAACTGAGGAAGTGAAACTAATGTTAAAATACGGTTTGAACAGTAACCCAAGGCACCAGCTGTAAACATTTACCACATAGTAAAAACCTTCTTTTTTTTCCTGCTTGCTTATTTATATGTCTACAGTGGTCAGGTTAGGATTTTTCCACCAACCAGAAACACAACAAACTATAGCCATTACAGCAAAGTAATACTTATTAATACTGTTTCTGTCTTAAAACGTCATGCATGTCTTAACTTCATCTGTCCTGCATGTGTGTTTCCTGATTGAAAACATCTATTTCCTAATCATTAAAAAAAACTCACTGGGGCTTTTATGATAGTCATTTTTTAGTCCACAAGACCCGTAATGAAAATTTAAATAAGTGCATAACAGTAACTGTTCATCCTCTAAGAAAAAAAGCCTTACTTATACACATTTCAAAAATATTTTCCAAAAGCACCGTGTTTGTGTTTGTGTTTTTTTATTCAGTGACTTGGATATCATCGGTCCGAACAGGAAGACAAAGTCGTCATTAAGGACTGTTAAAGCTGAAATAAATATATTATTGCATATGTAAGATAGGCTACCTCTCGTTTATTTCTATTTACATTCTTCTGCACAGACAAAATATATTTTAAAGTGATTAACATTAAAAATGCATTGTCATTGCCGTTTTCACCATATTTGGAAATACAACGTTAAGGGTAAATAAATAAATAATAAAAGCAAACAAAAACAAAATACTAAGCTGAGAAGTATTGTCTGCTGTAAAGTGATTATTTATTATGAACTTGTATTTGTATTCTTGCTGGTCAGTGAGCTGGGTTTCTGACCTGAGGCTGGGGCGGGTATCCCTGGCCAGGTTGCTGCGGGTGCCATGGGTGTGGATTGTCCTGGTATGGCGGAGGGGCAGCCTGACCCATGGAGGACTTCTCACCAGTCCAGTTCGTTGGAGGGGCGCTCGCAGACTTGTCAGGGTCCATCATGCAACGTGAAAGTTACTTCCAGAGGAAAAAAAATCTTACTTTTTTTTTTTTATAAAGCACCTTTATAATCCTCAAGTGTTGCCGATGAGCGCACTCCTGGTGTGACGTCGTGAATAACTTTCATCCACTTCAGAGGAGTGATGAAATATTCTGCCCAGCGTCAAGACAAACAACATAAATCACCAATTTCCGGATTCAACTTTCAAATTAAAGGCACTGTCTAACATGGTCAAGATTTTTCATTTGGCCTTATGAAGTTGATAGCCCGCTGTATTGAAGCATCAAGGACGTCGTAATAGTTATATGGAGTGACTTTTCCCTCTGTGCTAGACTAGAAGAAAATATAGTTAGGTTATGTATTAATATAATTATTATTGTTGTTGTTGTTGTTGTTGTTTTTTGTTGTTATTATTATTAGTTATAAAATAAGATAGCCGATACCTTTATTGAGTGGAAATGTTCAGTATATACAGTAAAATGTGTAAGCAGTGAACCAACATTAAAGTAGTTTAATAAAAAACAAAACAGTTACAGAAATGCAGCTGTTGCATATTGGTATTGTACATTCAAACATAAATACAGTGAACACATTTCACAAGAATGGATGAGTTTGTTATTGCACATTGAAATGAATAAATTGTTGATATTTCTCCTAGGCTTGGCAGAAGAGTCTGACTGCAGCAGGGAGGAATGATTTAAGTTGTATTAAAATGATTCTAAAATAAACATTTTTGAAACAAATAAATAAAAAGGTTTTCTTGTTCGATGGTTATTTGGGAACATCACTTTACTTTGAAAATTCTCTTGACATGCCATAAACAGGCTTGCATTGTCCACAATAAACAGTCATGTGTCAAAAGTTGCAGGCATAAACTCCGGAGAATCAGACATTTTATTATGAAACAGCAAAATATAGTGTTTAAAAATGACCGAAAGAAAACACCCACACCATCTTCATCTTGTAAAAGTAACGTTCTTAAAATCGAGCTTTAACAAAATTTGACACACAATCCGCAGTGAGTTATTTTAGTCTTTTATTAGGAAAAACTCTCATTTCCGGTCAGCTTGACGCTGCAGGCTCCCTCATTACATCCAGCCAATAAATGACCAGGGATGGGCCAATGGGGGCGAGGTAATACAGGAAAACAGAACCTTGAAGATAATTATGTTTTCCAGTCACTCTATTAGCAGGCTATAACTTGGATTACATTCAACCTGATTTAAAATCGGCTCAAACTGTCATTGAGGAGCAAAAAACTAAGGCACCTCACTCTATATCTGATCTATTAATGCTTTAGTAGTTTTTATGGTTTGCTTCATTTTAGCTTGTACCCCCTCTTATTGCTTTGCTCTCTTATTTTCTTTTATTATCACCTACTATTGTTTATTTACATAAAGCACGCAGATGGTTAACAGCCCAACAGCATGGTTTGAAGAGTATTTAATGAGAAAGTTGGTGTATGAAAGTGTCCACAAGATGGAGCCAGAGCCTTTACAGCAGGCTGACAAGAGTCATGACATACCAGAAAAAGATACATGTATCTTTCTGGGTGTGTGGTTTGTAATATTACATATATTTGTGTAACTTTATCTATCTTATCTTCTACCTTTTTTTTTTATAACCGCTGTCAGGTTTTTCATACACCTACACCACATGTTTTATTTTAATTTAGTTGGTTCTTTGTTGACACTTTAGACTTGAAGTAACTTGTTTGGTTGTGTTTTCAAGGTTTTTAAAATGAACAACCAACACGTTACATATGAAGGCTCAGACTTCAGGCCCATCAACATGATCTGCTGTATATACAGGTGCTCACTTTTACTGATGCTTACACCTCCTATCTCAGTACCTGTTGTCTCCGCTTGATGGCAAAAGATGAAAGTTACAAGTTACAAGCCGTCTTCCATGGAGACAGATGTTTATTTTGTATAATATTCCCTTCCCCATATTTAGTTGTTTCCAGTTCAGAAAGAGCCAACTCAAAGCTGTGCTTTGGTCAAAATATAACCAGAGGTGTAGGAGCCATAAATGTAAGTTGATTGTGTATTTGGTGTCATGGGTTGTTTACTGATTTGTTTATTGTTTACGGTCTGCTTGTTACTGGTGGTGGGTGTGTTCACCGGAAATCTCGTGGTGATGGCAGTGATTATATGGGCCGCACTCATATGGGGGTGAGCGTGGGAAGAGACAATTTCTGTTGACCGCCACACTACACTGCGATTGCAAGTTTATTTGATGATCCGAAAACAGCGTTTGTAGTATCTTGTTTTGTTTTGGAAGAATAAATGACAAACGTATCTTGGATCTGGAAGTCATTTATAACGACAGCGCGTCACAGCTTCACTACCGTGTTCAGTCCCTCGCGGCAAACTGTTTTTGACGACCTGCAAAAGGCCAATATAGCTGCAATAAGAGGTGTAAAGAGTACTAATAGATTCTACTCAAGTAAAAGTACTGTTACTTTGATAACATTTTACTTAAATACAAGTAAAAGTACCAGTTTAAAAATGTACTCAAGTAAAAGTAAAAAGTAACTTGTCTAAAATGTACTTTAAGTAAAAGTTACTTTTTTTTTAACAATGCGTCTCTTGTGTGTCGTGAAAAAAGGACAAGAGGATATTAATCTCAGTTTTTTCAATTAAAGGCCAATCTTTACAAAGATTTATCTTTTCAGAGAAACATTTTCTTTTCTACCCCATTGACAAAAACAAAATATACATAATAATGGATGGATTTAATAATGAAGGCTTATATGTTCAAGTAATCAGCTGTTTTATGAAGGGAAATGTTTAAACTCTTTAAGAAAATACTAAAAGGATCTGATGATCTGTGAAAGTGATGACTGTGTCTCTGATAGCAGTGATATATCCGGATTTAAAATAAGTAACAGTCAACAGAAAAAACTTTACTCTGCAGAAATGATTCAGTCGTTTTTAGCAAAAACCAAAAATGCTGAAGGTGTTAAAATTGAAGAGCATTTCCCAGTTTTAAGTTTGTTTTATACCTCGGCCAGACTCCACATGAGCCAAAAGGAGGAGTCTGGCCTCACTAACAAGGAGGTTTTTAGATTAAAAAAACTTGTGCTTAAAGTTAGAAAACAACTGAACAATGATGACGGGAAGAGCTCCAATGTGTGTTTTAATTAATTTATTGATTTTTATTTTTGTTCTTAATTTCTCACTTATGGATAATTTTAGAGTGGGAAGTTTGAATATAAATGGAGCCAGAGAGTCAAAAAAAAAAGCAGCTATATATGAAACGGCCAAAATGAAACATATTGATGTTTTTTATTTCCAGGAGACACATAGTGATAGCACCAATGAGGCAGACTGGAGGAGAGAGTGGGAGGGGGAAGTCATTTTAAGTCACAACACTTCTCTTAGTGGAGGAGTTGGCTTTCTCCTCTCCAAGTCTTTCACTCCGGTTTCACTGGAGGTCGAGCATTTTATCGAGGGGAGGTTGCTTTTAATTAAAGCACGGTTCGACCTTTTTACTGCAGTTTTTATCAATGTGTATGCTCCAACAATCGGTGCAGAGAGGAAGCTGTTTTTACAAAAAGTTAACAATGTTTTAAATGGCTGTGCCTCGGAGGATTTTTTATTCTTGGGTGGGGATTTTAACTGTACAGAAAATGCATCTTTAGATCGCAACCATGCAGAGCCGCATCCAGTTTCCCAACATGTTCTGAGGCAGCTGGTCTATTCTCATGGCCTGGTGGACGTGTGGAGAAGGATGCATGCAGACTGCCAACAGTACACATGGTCCCACCTCAGAGAGAGTAGGATCTCCTCAGCTAGACTAGACCGTATTTATTGTTTTAAGCATCATTTTAATATTTTTAAAATGTGCAGTATTGTTCCTGCTGGTTTTACTGACCATTCTTTACTCTTGTGTAATGTTTTTATTCAAAATATTTTACCTAAAAGTGCTTATTGGCATTTTAATTCAGTCTTAACATTTGATAAACATTTTAAAGAGGTTCTTATTTATTTCTGGGATGTTTTTAGACAGAGGAAGGGTGATTTTAACAGTCTTAGGCAGTGGTGGGACCATGGTAAGACTGAGATTAAACTTTTATGTCAACAGCACACCCTCAATGTCACCAGAGACATCACCAGATCTATGAAAGACCTGGAGACTGATATAGTGGAACTAGAAAGATTGAGCGAGTCCACAGCAAATCGAGGATATATTGAAATCCTCAAAGTCAAAAAGCTAGCTTTAGCCGACCTGTTGGATGTTAAAGTACAGGGTGCACTGGTCAGGTCCCGGTTTCAAGCCATCACGGAGATGGATGCTTCCTCTAGTTTCTTCTTCGGCCTGGAGAAGAGGAGTGGGCAGAGGAGGGTAATCCACTCACTTTTAGCAGACACAGGGCAAACATTGACAGAGCCATGCCAGATAAGAAGGCGAGCTGTGAGTTTCTACTCAGCACTCTACTCAAGTGAGTATGAGGAGGAGGAAGCTCTGATGGAGGAGTTCTGTAATGGACTGCCTCAGGTCTCTGAGGAGACCAACACACAGCTCAACGGCCGCTCTGCAGGGCATGCAAGGGCGGCGGGCTCCCGGCATAGACGGCCTGAGTGTGGAATTTTACAAAGCCTTCTGGGACATCTTTGCAAAAGATCTTTTAGATGTTTTTAATGAAAGTCTGGCCTCTGGCTCAATGCCCATGTCCTGCAGGAGAGCCGTAATCACCTTGCTCCCGAAAAAAGGTAACCTGCAGGACATTAAAAACTGGCGCCCTGTGTCTTTGCTGTGTGTGGATTACAAGCTTCTGTCCAAACTCTTTGCCTCCAGGCTGGGGAAGGCTATGGAGCAGGTCATCCACCGGGACCAGACCTACTGTGTGCCCCGGCAGGTCCATGGTGGACAATGTCCACCTCATTCGTGATGTTTTGGACGTCTCCAGCTCATCGGGTTGTAACACTGGTCTGATTTCTCTAGACCTGGAAAAGGCATTTGACCGCGTTGAACACAACTTCCTCTGGAAAGTTATGGAGAAGTTTGGGTTCAGCGCTGGTTTCATAGCCAAGATCAAAGTGTTGTACAGTGGGGTTGAGAGTGTGCTGAAGTTTAACGGCGGCCTGTGTGCTCCTTTCAGGGTGTGTAGAGGCGTCAGGCAGGGCTTTGCTCTG